CTATAGGTTCTATAGAATTTATTGAGCTTTCCAACGCTCACAATATTTTGAATCCTTGACAGTGCCAATATATTAATGAACTCGACTGTACCACAAGCCAAACCAGTCGAATCATAGGTCATTTCATGACAATGACCACACAAGGTCGACTATGCTCTAAACTAACGGTTGTGGAATGCATAAAATGCCAAATCCGCCTTTGTTTCATAACAGGGAAAAACTCTAGGAACTGTCAACTGGAGTACCATAAAAGAGCGTAATTTTTTTTCCACTTCTATAAAGGTTTTACATTTTTTTTTTCAAGTATAATTTGTACTCATATTAAATTCTAAGTCTAAAAATCGTGTCTTTTATTTCATAGTTAGTTCGTAAAGTTATTGGCAATGTATGTCCCAGCATACAATAAATCAATAAGATGTAATATTGAGAAATTGGCAATGTATGTGGCATACATAAGTTTTCAGGAAAACTAAGCTTTTCTGATTTTTTTATTATTTTCCTTCAATAGATTTTTATGTATCAATTACAATTACAAAAAAAATGGTTTTTACTGCATTTTATACTTTGCCAAATTAAGGGTTAATAGTTATGGTTGTATTATTTTTCTCCATCACCTTAAATGGTCTAAAATGAGGTGGCTTAAGGTATGGCGTACCGAATGATCTCGTAAAAATACGAGATATGAAAAGGCTAGTTCTATCAATATGAAATGAGATCGATTTCAATGACGCAATGCAGGCATAGATCGCAATTGGGCCATGCGACTAAGTTGAGTCGCAAGATTTGTAGTATCTTCTACACGGTCTGAAGACGGTGGAGTGACAAACTCGCCGGGTAGGGACAGCGATGCCCCGTGTACTAGGACGGCGGGAGTATTCCGCAGATCCTCCTTCAAAGTTGATCACATGCCAAGGAGCACCACAGGTAAAGCCGAGCCAAGTTTCTCGAAACACATCAATGCAGCCTTAAGCTGCCGATGCACCCTTTCGCATCGATGATAGCTTATTGTGTGAACTCGTTTGTAACCACAAAATTTCATTAACTCTTTTTCTACAATTTGGCGAACAACGTAGTGGCCTGAACAAGGTATTAGATGAAAAGAAATTTAAGGCCAAGGAAAGGCAAGGAAGGATAAAATACAGTAACCATGTCTGAACAGGAATCGCCCAGTTTTAGAGTGACATTGAACGAGTTGAAAAATTTAATGACAGCACGTCGAGGTTCTTTTTCATCCTTTAATACAGAATTCCTTACCGTTGCTGGTGTCTTCAAGACTGTGGAGTTAATTTCAGACGAAGATGCGCTGAAGAGTTTGCCGCTTATCTGAAAAGATGATGCTCTTATTTGGTGGACAGGAGTGAGAGACGAGGTAAAAACTTGGAAGGAGTTTGAACAACGACTTCGTCATGCATTTGCACCCCAAAAAAACGTTCTTGGTGTATCAAGAGATTTTTGCAATAAAGCAATCTCCGAGCGAACTGACTGAAAATATTGTTGCAAAGAAGAGGGGATTATTTACTCAATTGCCTCGTTCTTGTTTTCATTCAGAACAGCAGCAGTTGGCGATGATTTACGCTGCTACATCTCTCTATTCGTGAGAAGGTACCGTATGAAACAGTTCGGAGTTTTGATGTACTCCTGCAGGCAGCTAGGGGTGTGGAGCGTTTTTGGCAGAAAAAAACGTGCCTCCGCCCAGTGATAAGGAAAGGCAACAGCGTGTCCGGTGTCATTACTGCAGACATTTTGGACATACAATGGAACTTTGCCGGAAAAGGCAAAGAACGAAGCTACAGATGCTTTTGTGGATAAAGTAAAACAAGATTTGTTCATACTAAAACATGTAATGGCTGTACAAATAAATGCAAAGGATGTACAAGTTTTATTGTAGATCTCAAAAAAAGATGGTGTTTGTTTGCCAAAAAGCTTTGTTGCAAATATTGGAAATAAAAAGGAATCGGGTAGAAAATGTGATAAAGAATACTTACTTAAAAGGAGAAGCCCCAAAAGAAAACCGAGGAGGTAACCATAAGTCACATAAATATGAGGAAAAAAACCAAAATGTAATTTATTTTATAAAAACATTTCAATGTTTGAGGCACACTATTGTAGAGGCAATACTAAGCGCATGTATTTGCCATCTGAATTGTCAATAAATAAAATGGCTAAAAGTTACACTGCACAATACACACACACAGACTCACCTCACAACGAAAACACACATACACCACACAAATGGACGACATTCCGTATCAAATAGCGGAATGTCGTCCCAAAAAAAAAATGGGATGTTAAAAAGATTGATAGAAAGATGCTCAATTGTTTTTAATGAGGTAGCTTTCACACATTTGAGCTATGTGGAAAGTAGAGAAGTAATTACAGGGTTTCAGGGTTTAGGAAACAAAAGAGATTTGAGGTTTTCAGATCATGCCCATTGGTGAGAGGTATATGTTCCAACTCGAAACAGTCAATTTGTTATTATTTTTGTGAAGGTACAATTTCTGCTCAAGAACTCAAACGGATCGTAAAGGAAATGATTACAAAGGTGTCAGTCTGGTTTAATACCAATAGCTATAGTATGTGACCAAGGTACCACATTTAGAAGCTTTGAAAATG